TCCTATTCCTATTCCTATTCCTACTCCTACTCCTATTCCTATTCCTATTCCTATCAGTCCTGCTCCTCCGCCTCCTGCTGGTCTTGAGTGCAAGAGGCCGTTTTATAGATGATCTGGTTTCAGGAGGTTGTCTAGAGCTTGGTCTGGTCCCACGGCTGACTTCCGAGGCTTTCTCCGCATGGTGCAGGGACTGCGTAATACATTTGTCTCTCAGAATAAGCTGCTCCTCAAGGCACTCAGGTGGAGGGAGGCGTGCTTGGCTGCAGCTTCCTTGGGTCACTCGAGGACGGCCGAAGACTCCCTTTCCCGGGATCACACAGACAGTTCAGGATGGTTTAGAGTTCTGACTCAGGCCCTGTGGGGGCCTCTAACACACAGCTCAGGAAGTGTCTGTGTCTGCAGAGCCCTCCCCCACCCAGTCATTAGGGTTCCACTGGGCGCCTCACCAGGAGCTGCTCTGACCCCCGGCTTCTCCAGGCCATTGCGCAGGCATAAATCTTCCCCGGACATCTGCGCCGCTCTCAGAGCTGCCTCTGCCCCGTCACGGCTCCTCGTGAAAGGTCACAGCTACAGGACTGTTCCCCAAACACCCAAATATATTTACTGGGGTCCTGAGACCTTTCCCAGGTCTGATTTGATATTTCAGAGGTCTCCCAGGGGAAAGAAACAGGAGCCCATGTGGGGGTCTCCTTGTGGCCTTGTCCCTGTCACCTGCAGGGCAGCAAAGTGGGGTGCTTGCTCTCATCCATGAATTGGAGGACCAGGATTAGTTGGACAGAAGGGCTCCTAGGAGGGCTCCCCTGGGAAGGGAAAGGATGAGGGCAGGAGAGTCCTGCAGGAGATGTTGGGGATCCTGCTGAGGTCAAAGGGCGAGGGCTGTCACCAGGGCCCGGTCTATGCGGCATGACCTGGACAGCTCAGGTTATCCCTCAAAACCGAAGCATTTGCCCTGCCTTTTGCAAAATAGGTCGAGTGGTAGCACTGTGTTAGAACTGGTGCTCCCTCCCAGTAGCCCCTTCTCTTCATTGCCCAGAGGGTAGCCCTGCAGAGCGCGTGCATGAAAGAAGACCAGGGACTTTTCTTGCAAGGCCTAAAGCCAAACAGTCCCCACCTCTCAAGAGTGTAGTCCAATGGAGAGTGCCTTGGGGACATCTCTCCTTGCTGAGGCAAACTACCCAGCACCTAAGGTCGAGGGAGGAAAGATTTATCTAGCCCACAGTTTGTAGAAGTTTCAGTTCTTTTTTTT